TCAACTCAGGAACTACCGTCCCATCTCACTCCTAAATGTGGATTACAAAATTTTTGCTGACATCTTGGCAAACAGACTGAAAAAAGTTTTAAATGAAGTAATTCACAAAGACCAAGCAGGCTTTCTCCCCGGTAGGCATTTGTCTGACAACACTAGGAATATCATCGATGTTTTGGAATTATTACAGACAAATTTGAACACGAAAGCAGCTTTAATTTTTATAGACGCCGAGAAAGCCTTTGATAATATATCTTGGAAATTTATGAAGAAAAATTTGGAAGGGATGGGAGTGGGAAGGGCGTTCCAAAATGGTATTGAAGCAATTTATTCAGAGCAAAAAGCTAAATTGATAGTAAACAATGTGGTGACAGAGGAGTTTAAAATTGAAAAAGGGACACGTCAGGGGTGCCCCTTATCACCCTTGTTATTTATTTCGGTCCTGGAGGTGTTGCTGAATATGATTAGGAAGGACCAGCAGGTGGAAGGAATACAGGTCGGAGAAAAACAATACAAACTGAAGGCCTTTGCAGACGATTTGGTTTTGACATTACAGGAGCCAGAAGCTAGCACAAGAAGAGCTTTAGAACTAATCTCTGAGTTTGGTCGGGTGGCGGGATTCAAGTTAAATAAACAAAAAACTAAGGTTTTGGCAAAAAACTTGACACCTTCAGAAATAGATGGGTTTCAGAAGGAAACAGAATTAAATGTGGTTACAAAAGTGAAATACCTGGGGGTTAACCTGACTGGGAGAAATTTGAATTTGTTTAAAGACAATTATGAAAAATGTTGGTCGGAAATTAAAAAGGACTTAGAAACTTGGTCAAGATTGAAGCTTTCCTTGTCGGGAAGAATTGCAGCAGTTAAGATGAATGTACTGCCAAGAATGTTGTTTTTGTTTCAAACCCTTCAGATCGTGGACAGAGTGGAATGTTTTGGAAAGTGGCAGAGGGATATTGCGAAGTTTGTCTGGCAGGGCAAAAAGCCCCGAATAAAATTTAAAATATTAACAGATGCAAAGGAAAGAGGGGGGTTTGCCCTGCCGGACTTAAGATTGTATTATGAAGCTGCATCCTTCTGCTGGATGAAAGATTGGTTTTTGTTAGAAAACACTGATGTCCTAGATCTGGAAGGGTTCAACAATGCTTTTGGATGGCATGCATATTTGTGGTACGACAAGATAAAGCTCCATAAATTGTTTAAAAACCATATTGTCAGGAAAGCTCTATTTATTGTCTGGACTAAATATAAGGACTTACTTGAGAGCAAGACTCCGAGGTGGCTATCACCGACGGAGGCTAAGGCCATAAAACTACGTAACATGGAGAGTGGCTGGGTAAAATACTGCGAGATAATAGAAAGAGTTGGTGATACCTGGAGGTTGCAAAGTTTTGAAAAACTGAAAGGAAAGGTGCGAGACTGGTTTCATTATGCCCAAATTTCAGAGATTTTTAAAAAGGATAAAAAAATTGGTTTCCAGGTGGAAAAATCAAAATTAGAGACAGAACTACTCGAACCTAAGACGAAAGTGCTTTCAAGAATGTACAACTTGTTGCTTAAATGGAATACTCAAGATGAGACAGTTAAATCAGCTATGATAAAATGGGCACAGGACATTGGGTACAACATTATGTTTGAAGACTGGGAAAGGTTATGGACCACCGGTATGAAATTCACGGCATGTAGTGCCTTAAAAGAAAACATTATGAAAATGGTATACAGGTGGTACATGACCCCAGTCAAACTTGCAAAGATATATCATTTGTCTGACAATAAATGTTGGAAATGTAAGGAGGCTGAAGGAACATTTTTCCACCTCTGGTGGACATGCCCGAGGGTGAAGGCTTTCTGGGAAATGATTTATAACGAATTGAAAAAGGTGTTTAAGTACACCTTTCATAAGAAACCAGAGGCCTTCCTCTTGGGCATTGTAGGCCAGAGAGTGCCAAAAAAAGATAGAACTTTCTTTTTATATGCAACTACAGCAGCAAGAATACTCTTAGCTAAATACTGGAAGGCACAGGAGCTACCCACACTGGAAGATTGGCATTCGCAGCTGATAGACTACATGGAACTAGCCGAAATGACCGGCAGAATCCGAGATCTGGGAGAAGAGGAAGTGGAAGAGGACTGGAAAAAATTTAAGGACTATTTACAAAAACATTATAAGTTATATGAATGTTGAGAATTTGCTAAATTTTTGGGAAAAAACATGCTTCGGTATTGAGATTTGTAAATGATGAAAATTAAGTTATAACTTTGAAAAGTATAAATTATAGATTATATAACTAAATGAAAGTACAAAAACACATAAAATAAGGTATCAATTTGCTGTTTATTTTTATTGTAAAGAAAGCAGGGGATGGAAGACGTGGGGAAGTCCAGTTGATTATGAAAATAGATTTGAAAAAGTGAATCTTTTCTTTATAATCTTTTCTTTTTTCTGTAAAATCGCTTTTGTTGTCTTATTGACGATGTATTCTGACCTTGGAAAAAAAGCAATAAAAAAATTATTAATAAAAAAAAAGAGAGACTCCGGAAGGGGAGTGAAAGGCGGGATATCAAATCCAAACTCCTCCTCCTCCTCCTCCTCTTCTTCTTCTTCTTCTTCTTCCGGCGTGGTCTGGTCCATGGGGTCACAAAGAGTCGGACACGACTAAACAACAACAACAATAAATAAATCAACAACAACAACAACATGTAATGTGAATTCCCAGCTATTAACAGGTGTCCCTGTGTCACTGTGAGTGGAAAGCAGAGGAGAACTATTTTCAAACAGAAGGTACATTCCAGTTCACATAGGTTTAAAATAAAGGAGAAAAACAGGGAGAACTGCTCTGAGGGCTCCTCCAGACCACTTGTTTATTTAGCATTCATCCTGATTTGCTACTCTTTATTGATTTTTGTTCTGGTTAATTTATGGGGTAGTTATACGACTGCACTCATCCTGCTTTCCTTGCAGGGTGTTTACACAGATTTGTTGTGCTGGAGTAGTAGGGAATGAGGTGGGATGCTCTTCCTGTGCCAGCGAGCAAGGAGGCCAAAGTGGCTGTCGTAGATCTCTCCATAGGGAGCACCATGGAACCAACTCTCCCTGACTCGGGTGTCCAGAAAAAGGCGGTTTTCCAGGGAGGAAAGAAGAGGACATCCCTCATTGGTGCTGCTGAGATGCTACAATTTGTACTGGTGGTGGCAGGCACTCCCATTCATTCAATGGGGCATTTGAACCTGATGCCACTTGGAGGCACAGGAGCCAACTTCTAGGGGCTGAGGTAGCCCCCCATAAAATGTTTGAGTGCTGGACCCCCATGGGCAGGGGAGGCAGCTGCCACCCCCAATCAAGTAAATAAAAAAAAATACCTAACTAACCAATCACACTGCAGATAATTCAGTTCTGCTCCCTAACAATACATCAAGGTATACCTCCATAATACCTCAAGGACTGCCTCTTCCCATGTGAAGCTACCCGGACCCAGAGAACATCTTCTGAGGCCCTCCTTCGTGCACCTAGAATCATAGAATCATCGAGTTGGAATAGACCACAAGGGCCATCGAGTCCAACCCCCTGCCAAGCAGGAAACACCATCAGAGCACTCCTGACATATAGTTGTCAAGCCTCTGCTTGAGGTGCAGAGGGTGGCAACACAAGAATTGGCCTTTTCTGCAGTGGCTCCCCATCTGTGGAATGGTCTCCCTAGGAAAATCCATCTGGCGCCTTCATTATACACCTTTAGGCACCAGGCAAAAATGTTCCTTTTTAAAAAGGCCTTTGGTTGACCTGATTGACCTCCTATACCCTTTTAGAATGTGGCTCTTTTTGTGTGTGTTATTGTTCTTATTTTAATTGTATATATTGTGATCTTTTCTGTGAACCACCCTGAGACCTCTGGGTATAGGGCACTATATAAATTCAATAAAATAAATAAATAGAATAAGTCCTGGCTATGCCCACGCATCCCTCCCCCAAGTTGATGGGCACTGCCATTCAAATGGTGGGTGGGTGTGCCCTGCCGTGTGGGGTAAGGTAAAGGTAAAGGACCCCTGGGCGCTTAAGTCCAGTCAAAGGCTTACCTGCAAAGCCTGCCCCACCCCAATACAGTGGTACCTCGGGTTAAGAACTTAATTCGTTCTGGAGGTCCGTTCTTAACTTGAAACTGTTCTTAACCTGAGACACCACTTTAGCTAATGGGGCCTCCCGCTGCCGCTGTGTGATTTCTGTTCTCATCCTGAAGCAAAGTTCTTAACCCGAGGTACTATTTCTGGGTTAGGTCTGTAACCTGAAGCGTATGTAACCCGAGGTGGTTGTTGTTTAGTCATTTAGTTGTGTCCGACTCTTCGTGACTCCATGGACCAGAGCACGCCAGGCACTCCTGTCTTCCACTGCCTCCCGCAGTTTGGTCAAACTCATGCTGGTAGCTTCGAGAACACTGTCCAACCATCTCGTCCCCTTCTCCTTGTGCCCTCCATCTTTCCCAACACCAGGGTCTTTTTCAGGGAGTCTTCTCTTCTCATGAGGTGGCCCCTTCATGGATCACTGCCTTGCCGTGGCGAAGGGGCTTGGATAACTCAGAGAAGCTATGAGCTATGCCGTGCAGGGCCACCCAAGATGGACAGGTCATAGTGGAGAGTTTTGACCAAACGTGATCCACCATGAGCAGGAACCGGCAAACCACTCCAGTATCCCTGCCAAGAAAACTCCATGGACAAAGACAACCCGAGGTACTACTGTATTTTATTCAAGTTAGCACCCCTGCTGGGATGCGTGGCCGAGGATCCAGGACGTGGCCAAATGGTTGCCCCCCACATCCCGTCCCTACGATCCTGATCTAGTTATGGGGCAATTTGTGTCCCCCCCCCAACACCCCCAAACCCTTCAGGGCGCAGTTCGGCGTCCTTAGGCGCGCTCATGGCTCGGCCGCTCGCGTGCCGCCGGGCCCTGCCTTTCCCGCCGCGTCCTCGCCTCTTCTCCTCTCCCGCCGCCGGGAGCCTTGGAGATGTTGCTGCTCAGGCAGCAGGCGCCTCCCCGCCGCCCGGCAGCCTCCGCCCCACTCGGCGAGGGCGGCGGCGGTGGCAGCGGCTCCTGGTCGAGCCTCCCCGGCTGCCCTTGACACCAATCCCCCTCGGAGCGGCAACAAAAAGCAGGCAGGGGCAGGTGGCGGAGAGGGACGGCGGCGCGCCTCCTCCTCCTCTTTCTTCCGCGCGCGGCCTCCCAGCGACTCCAGCCCGAGGCGGCCGCGGCGCACAAAAGGCCCCGCGTCTTTCGTGCCGCCTCTTTTCTTTCGCGGCGGCGGCGGCCTCTGCAGGCCACGTCATGGGGAAATAAATAAATATCGCCCCATTCAGCCAGTGGCAGCGAGCAGGAACCGGCGGCGGCGGCGGCTGGAAGATTAGGACCAGCCCACCCAAACTAGACACACACAGAGAGGGAGACCAAGCCAGGTAACGTAAAACGGAGCCATCCAGTTCATCTTTTTTTTTTTTAATTAACAAAATAGATGGGCAGGGCGGCCGGGTTTCATCTAGGCAGAAGGGGGCCGCCGTCTGTTCCAGCCCCATTGTCTCCGCCGCTTCGTGTTTGAATGTCCCTGCTTCTGCCGCCCGAGTGTGTTGCTAACTGTGTCGGAATGGTGTCGCTTAAGCAACGAGAAGAGCGCCTGGTCTGCTGCTGCTGCTGCCGCCGCCGCCGCTGCGATCGCGTTGGCTTTGGGATGCGAGGCGCCCAAGTCCGAGCTCACACTGTGGATGATGCATCACACACGGGGGAAGCGGGCAGAGCAGGCGCGAGGGGTGCGGGGTGGGCGGGAGACCCACACTATGAACGGCGTCCGCCGCCAAAGGAGCAGCGGGGAGTTGCAAGCAGAACACGGTGCCCACCCCCGTCCCCGTGGATGAGGATGGATGGGGAGCGCGGTCAGAGCTCGCCTCCCTGCCTGCCCCGGTCCGATCAGTGACCTCCAGAGATGTACCCCGTGGAGAGAGAGCGCAATGCCACTCACCCACGTAGACCCAAGTGACAGATGCCCATCCGAACCACCATACACCCCTTAGAGACGCTCCCACGTAAGCCCCCCCTAAAACATAGGAGCCAACATAATTTATTGGAGGGGCCGCTCCCAAAGTGGATGGGCATTGCCGTGGTGCGCGCGCGCGCGCTGCGTCGTCATGTGGCCTGGGGCTCACCTGAGCGCCCCCGACATTTCATTCAAGTTGGCACCCCTGCACCACGTTGCGTGTGCGCGCCCGATCACAACCGATCCCCCCCCTCCTCCCCCCCATCACGTTGCTCCCCGGTTCCAGTATAGTTCTTTAGCTAGCGGGAAACGCACTCCCTTTTCGGAGAGGGGCTCTTCTTTCTCTCTCTCCCCCCCCACCCAAAGGAGCCCAATGGGGGAGTGGGTGGCACGGTGGAGAAGGAAGGCTGCTTGCCTGGGCCGGGCACCGTGGCTTGCAAGAGCTGCGGGTTTGTGGGTGGGTAGGCAGAACGCGTGCCGCTACGTCGCTGGTGCGCCTTTGTGTCTGCGCTGCCGCAGCAGGAGGAGGTGGCAAAGGCATCGCTCGCGTGTGCGCGCGGGTCTCCTTCTGGAGCTCCTTGCCGAGCGCGGCCCTTGCCTCCGCCTCCGCGCCGCGAGGGGACTCGGGGTGGCTAGGATCAGGCGGTGTATTTCTGGGCAGGCAGGTCTGCGTGGGGCTGGCTTTTCTTTCTCTACCCCCCCCCCCCCCGCTTCTTGGTAGTCAAATCCTCCAAGGGTCAGGCGCCTGGAGCCGGATGATGCTCTTCGCGCTGGGCGGGGAGGCGGCGCGTCAGAGGCGCGCCTTTGCGCAGCGCGTCTCCTGGTTTCCAAGGCCCCACCTCGGCGGCGGCCAATGGGAGGCGCGCGGCGGCCAGCGAGGCTTGCGAGGGGATGAAGGAAGCGAGAACTCGATCCGTCGGCGAAGGGAGGGACGCCGACGTCACGAGAGAGGGGGGCTTGGCCGGCAAGCTGCAGCCGGTTGGCTCTGGCGGGCGCCAGGCCACGTGGAGCGCGGCGGAGCAGCCGCTGGCACCGCCGTCGGCCCGCACGCCGGAGAAGGGCACGCCAGGCTCCTCGCGGATGCAGCCTCCTCATTCATTGCTGGCGCCTCCGCAGGGCAGCTTGACCTTGCCGGGCAGTTTCCGTTTCGCGCCGCCTGCAGAGCCCCGGAGCTGTCCAAAGAAATCGTGTGCACGTTTTTGTTTTCTTTTCCGGGGGGGAATCGGCTCCAAGGATCTGGAGGGGGCTTCCTTCTGAGTAAATAGATCAGGCAGTAAAGGAGGAATCTAACGTAGGATGGTGGGTTTTGTCATGGACGTGTGATCCTCAATTCATTTCATTTGCAAGGTCGTTGGCTTATAGGGGACCGTCAGTATAGTGGCTTTGCTGCTGGGACTTCTGTGTGAGGCACCGAATAGTGGTGGCCTTAGGAGTCGACTCCAATAAGAGTCTAAGGACACCTTAAAAACGTGATACATTTCTTGTTACTTGAGCTTTCCAGTACTAGAGCCTACTTCTAGGTGCATGAAGTGCTTTGTTCCAAAAGTATGAAAAACAAGCATTGCATCATATAGTAGTTGGGCTGAACTGGGTGGGTGGGGGAGTGGTCAATCTTGCCCTGAATATAGAAATATTTAACCAAACCAGTTTAGCCAGTTCCATTTCAACTTCACTTTTTCCTTTCCTCAAACTTAAACCACACAACCTTAATATAAGAGCTGTTGATAAGGAAATCATTTCTTTAAGCAGAGTGGTTTCTGAGGCTTTAAAGAAACAGCTTTAAAGAAACAGAAGTGGTATTTAGAACAGAAAATGTTTTCTCAAAACCATCTGAATTGCATTGTTTTACATCAGGACCCATGGCCAATAAGCGGTGCATCAATGGTGGGGAACCTGTGACCCTTAAGATGCCATTAGACTCCAGTCTCCAACATTCCTGGCCATTGGTCAGACTGGCTGGGGATGATGGGAGCTGGAGTCCAGTGACATCTGCAGGGCCATAGGTTCCCCATCCTTGTAGTCAGAAGAGTCCCAAGTCATCTTGCTGCCTGAGGCAGAAGACGAGAAGTCATTCCCATTCTTAGTACCAAGGTGAGCCAGATTGGCTATTGGATCTTCAGCACTGGTGATGGACAGCATCCTTTGCTGAACCTGAGACAACAGGCTAGCTTAGGGGCACAAGGCAGATCACATGGAGCTCTTTCCTCTTAACATCTTGCTGCAGCATCCCAGCATTTGCCTCCTGAGGCAGCTTCCTCACACTGTCTGATAGTAGGTCTGGCCCTGCCTGTAGCAGACCCACTAGTGAAACCTGCTGATGAATCTCACCTGATTCCTTGGGCACCACAAGTCAAGATGGTGCCCTCAAGGGCTGAATGGTCCTGACATCCAATGAACTTTATCAGAAATAAAACCATACAGTGCACCATAACCATGCACAGCAAAATACAAAAGGAAGATATAATTAACATTGGAGAGACACAGGTGATCTAGGCTTTTTTGTTTGGTAAAGGTCGGCTGATCTTCTAAAAGAAAAATCTGAATTTGTTGCAGTTATTTTGTTTCACACAGAAGAATGGCAGCCCTCAAGTTAACAATCAAGGGCATCTCTTGTTAAATAACTCCATTTGGCAAACTTGTGAAAAAACTCTGGCTGTGACCTTTGTCACCAGACAAAGTAGCTCATGCTAGGCTAGATGGTCCAATGATCCATGAAGGCTTCATATGATAAAGGTAATGAATAGAAAACACCCTTAAAAATGAGACTTGGCACATGTGTCATGCATTTCAGTAGAGAAAATGACAAGAAAAGCTTGTTGTGGGGAGTCAAGTTCTGTAGTCCTACAACCATGTATGCAGTGGCCTCCACAGCCAGTGCAATTTTGGCCCCCCTGCTACTGCTACTACTACAGTGCAACAATAGGTAGAGCATCATGAGTTCAGCATAGATGTCCACACACCTGGAGCTTCCTGTGGTTTTCTGAGCCCTGCATTTCAAAACAGACTTGCAGAGAGGCACTCAAATGTGGAGAGAAGAATGTGCCATTGCATACTTTTGCTTCACAGTGATTAATATACAGTGGTACCTCGGGTTACATACGCTTCAGGTTACATACGCTTCAGGTTACAGACTCCACTAACCCAGAAATAGTGCTTCAGGTTAAGAACTTTGCTTCAGGATGAGAACAGAAATCGTGCTCCGGCAGCACAGCAGCAGCAGGAGGAGGAGGCCCCATTACCTAAAGTTGTGCTTCAGGTTAAGAACAGTTTCAGGTTAAATACGGACCTCCGGAACGAATTAAGTACTTAACCCGAGGTACCACTGTACAAATTGGTTATTTAGCATGCTATTTGTGTTAGATGAATCTTAAGCAGTAACTTTACTTCTTCATACATTTTTTTTTAAAAAAAACAATTTAAAAAGACACAAAAACCCCACACCTACATACATAAGTCACCATGTCCATAAATGACAAACCTTTTCTGTTAGCGAATTGCCGTCTACCTTGCCCTTAAAAAAAGAGAGAGAGAGAGAGAGAATCTGAGCTTTCAGTGCCAGTGCTGCACTATTCATGTACAATCTTTTTTTCTAATCCATGTTGTGTCCTGGGACGCAACAGTCCCAGGGAAATAACCAGGAGTCTAAAATGATATAGTTCTCTCAAGCAAAAGACCTTTTGGGTTGTCGCCAAAGGCTGCACCTAAACTCTTATGCAAGTGCACTTGGGCTCCCTGCCCAACAGTTTGAAAACTCGCAGGCTACAGTTGTAAGCTCACAAGAAACGAAGCTTTAGCAAGAAGCCAAATGCTGACAGTTGCCTAAGGTACTAACGGAAGGTTAAAGTAAGAATGGGGTGGGGGTGGACATTCTCACATTTTACCTGTTCCATTATGTTTGCATGTGTTCCTGCAAGTTCTCATTCCGGAACTGAACGAGAAGGTACGTGCCGTGTTGAGCAGCATTGATCCAGTCAAATTTTAGCTCTTAGTTTTGGGTGCAGTTTCAAATGTGGCAAATTTTGTAAATCGTAGAGAATAGCTGGTGCGTGATATTGATAAAGCATAGCCATGTGTGTGTTTTGGACACTAGGATTTCAGTCCTAACAACATGTATGTGAAAGTAAATTCCATTGAAGTCAGTGATATTTACCTCTGAGTGATTATGTTTTAATATCCCTTTTTAAGACTCCCATTTACATGCACAAGCATGTACTGGTGGGCACAGCACACCCCAGGAGGAAGAAATCAAATATGTAATATCAGTGGAATTGTAGGAGACTGTAATGAGATGAGATAAACTGCTTATAATAGAAGGCTACTTGGCCAACCATTGAGGCAAGTAAGAATCACTTCCAGGGGATCATATATAAAAGCGTTTATATATGGAAGGGAAACAGTTCTTCCTTTTCGCTTTAGACTCTCAGTGTG